GTTCAGCCCAAGCTTGTCGTGAATAAGGAATATGGTCGACCAGCGACAGAGAAAGGGTGGCACTCCCAAGGAGAAACCTTAGCGAAGCGAAGATAGCAGTGAGTGCCGGGCTTGACGTCGACGTAACGGGGCAGGTGCATGGTAACTCGGGTGCAGTCACCAGGCATGGGCTCGCAGACGGCCTCGGTCAGACCCCTGTCGGACCAGTTCATGTAGGCCGTGCGCAGGACGCGAGCGAGGCGCTCAGCGAACCACAGTACGAAGATGGCCATCATCCAGGGCAGCTGAGGAAGGCCACCGGGATGGGCCGAGGCGACACAGTGAATGTAGGTGCAGACGAAGGTGATGAGCGCCAGGATGATGTGGACGTTGAGGAAGGTCTCGTAGAAAGCGTGGCGGATGGGCGAAAGCGAGAGAATAAGGATGAGGACAAGAGCCACGGTACCTAGCATGCCAGATGCCTCAAAGGCCTTGTGGAAGATGCGAGAGGTGACAGCCTCCCAACCGCCGTCGGCATGCCTGACGTACATCCAAGCAATGGTGTGGATGACGGCCTCAATGACCGACAAACGGCCCATCCAGCGGTGGAGCAGGTTGTAGGTGTCGAAGCTTATCTTCAACCAGGAGATCAAGGGGTTATTGCGGCCAGCAAAGATAATCAGGGGTACCATGTTGACGACAGACAGGGTTCCAGAGCGTCCACGGACCTCGGCTGCAAAGGAGAAGACGTTGGCGTTGCGCCAGTTGAGGACGAACATGTACACAAAGTTGCTCGCCAGCCAGATGAAGAGGATAATGCTGTGAAGGCGAGATGGGAGGACGCCCATGTGACCGGCCTTGGAGAGCCTGAACTCACGGTTGTGGCGCTTTTTCCAGAAGGGGGCGTAGATGATGTTGCGCTTCAACCAAGGCATCCAGTTTGACTGTGCCCTCTTCCAGTACTCTTGAGCCTCTGCGGGGACGGCCATGGCTGAGACTCGTCGAAGCTGGGCCCAGGCGATCTGTCCGAACCGGATCACCAGAATGATCATGGCCATGATGCCCAGTGTCCACCAGAGCGCGTCGACGAAGGCCAAGTTAAGGGCTTGATTGACGCCAGCCAGGTTGGAGTGATAGGGGCGATGGTGGAGGTGGATTCGGCACCTCTGCCCTGGTGCCAGGTCGGCCATGGAGCTGTCGATGGGCGTGGGGAGGGAGTCCAGGTCCGCGAGCCTGCGGCGGAGGAAGGACATATTGCGATGAAGTTGAGGGGTATAGGTCTGCTATGCAAGGTTATCGCTGATGCTGATGATGATAGTGAGTGTTGCTTGGTGGGCGTGAAAGTCGCCAAGGATGGCGAATGGGTAAGAATCTCCTCGTAAAAATCGCGAACGAGCCGGTTCGGTGCTTCTGCAGGCAGCCGGACGTGGCTGGAAAATACCGACGCGGTCGGATAGAAATGTAGTTTGGATCAATGAAGAATGTCACACAAGAGCATTGTCCAGTGTGGACGAACGACGAGTGACAGAGGAAAGCAGGACCCTTGAAACGGAACGCAAGGCCTTTGTAATGGCCAAAGAACAGTGCCCGAGGGTGACGCGCCCTGTCTCAATCGCCGAGGAATGCTCCCAGCCTCTAGGGATGGGGTGAAGACGTCGGTGCTGGCGTGGAGGGTCCAAGATTCCTGGGGACGATTGTCTCCACAGACCCAAGCGAGAACGAAACGAAGGCTGTCGATCTTGCGCAAAGGCACAGACGTGGTCGGCAGGCTGATGTCAATGAGATAAATGTTGTCGATCAGCAGAAATGCGCAAAATGACGATGCTCAAATCAATCAAGTGTCGATGCGTGATCCGAGAGGGTGTGTGTGTGTGTGTGTGTTCCCTTGAAAGACTCCCTTGATCTGGCTGGTGACGTCCTGGTCGTTTGCTTGCTGGAATACGAATGAAGTGGCCGAAAGAGCGGTAAATTCTGCGTGCACAGCAAGCTGTCGAAAGAGAGAGATTGAGAGGTGGAGATGGAGAAAGAAACGAATGTGGGCGACTTCCTAACAAGAGGCGCCGCGCAGCGTCAAGAATGAGAAGATGAAGAGAACGGAAGGTGCGGTTGCCTCGGTGAGGTTCGGTGAGTGGGATTGATAGTGTATGCACGGCAGGCACGATCGAGTCGGTGCAGAACGGGCAGTGACGGAAATCTCAAGGGTGGTTTGTTTCGAAAATCCGTGTCCGTTTCTTTGCGTTCAAAGTCCCAAAAACCGAAATGAAGCAGCAAAATCCAACCTCTAATCAGAGAAGAAAGTGAAGACAAAGTATGCAAACACACAAAAGTGATCGGCGAAGGTGAAGAGGAGCAGATCAGTCAGAAGAGGAGGGGCGGGAGCACGAGTAAGAACGGGACGCAAGGTATACTTGAGATTCAACTCGACATTGACAGGATCGGAACCAGGAACAGGACTGCCAGTCTAGGAGGCCAGGGGTTACGAAAAGCACTGCGCAGGCCTTTCAGGACTGGCTCCAGTCCAGTATTCTCCCCCCACCCCTCCTCTCCCCCTCCCCTACCCCTGGCCGGCCCTGCTTGGTGTCTCCACGCTGCCAGGCACAGGCCTACTCTCATTGCTTGCCAACCCGCCTACCGTCAGCTTGCCGCGGGCGAGATGCATTTCACCCCTGAACCAGGTGGCGGCCCAAGCTTGCGAGACACCACGAGGAAGGAAGAGGTACGTTTTTGATAACGCGCACAGAGTGAATGCCCTGGTCTGGGCAGTTACTCAACTGGGAATATGGGTTCTGAACGGGGTCCCATGGAGTCTTCTTCATCCTGGTTTGTTCTTACCGGCGGCCCACGACTGTGCGTAGCAGGTGTGTCGGTGTCCCCTGCATACGACTTTTTCTCTGGTCTTCGAAGTGCCACACGACGACTTTGGTCTGTCATCATCTGATTCGAACAGAGGGAGCCCACGTATGTCTGGGAGCTGAGAGACAGCATGTCCCGGTAAGACAGCCAGATACGGTCAAAAGCAATTTTTTCCCCATAGTCAGGACGAACCGGCACTATAGGCGACTTGGCTCGTCATCGTATCAACGTTCAAGGACCACCAAGCGGGCAGGCCGAGGAGGGGCCTCGCGTTCACCACAGCTTCGGACAACAGGCGTTCTCGTCCTACAACTGGTCCGTATTGTTCGGCCGGCCGCTTCAAGTGGCCATGCACAGAGGGCAAACGACGCCTGGGACTGGCCCAAGGTTTCCCGAAGCCAGCCACCTTGGAGCCTTTTGGTTGGCTCATAGCTGCTCAGGAGGATTCCGCAGGGAGGGGTCTACGCCGCCGCGCGCGCCCAGCCGCCAGGGGAAGCGCAGCGGGCGGCGCAGCCGACAGGCCCCAGGCCACCAAGGGCCCCTGGAATGATTGGATGGGCAAGGCTCAACGTGGGCTTGTTCCTCGCCTCTTCCTTCCATTCGCTTGGCCAACTCAATACTGGTAGATTTCTGAGTCTCGACCCATGTGGCACCACCAAGTCACAGCAGCACGCACATGGCCGTCCAGTCTGGAATGCTTCAGGCTGTGCAGACCAGTCATCCATCCAGCAGCGACGTCACACTCAACTTGCGTTTGTCATCTAGTCATGCTTCGAGTCACACGAACAGACATCAGGTTTCCGTCATGGCTTTCAATGGATCTGACGTCGTCAATACCTAGACAAGCCTCCCATGGTAGGCAAGCCATGCATCCCGTGCAGATACCAGCCCGAGCACCACCATGGTCAACTCAGCGGTGGAGCATAAAGGCGCCCAGAGGCCGAAGAGGTGAGGGGAACAAGGGTGGAGAGATGGTGGACAAACACGCTCTACCACCATCCGATTTTCTCACCACGCACTCAAAAGACCCCTCTTCCAGCTTTCCACGACATCCGTCAAATGCGAGGAATGTGACAAAGACGCCGGGGCCCACTGCCTCGCTGGTCCGCATCACCCAATCCTCCGCATGAAATGGACTGACGGTCGAACGGGTCATCTTCGTACTCGCCAACCGAAGGTTCCGTAGTTCATTCCCCCTCGCTTGGACGACCTTATGCTACCATCATCGAGCCTGCCAACAATACACCAACGTGGGTGACAGGATGGCTCGAGGGTGGCTCGGCGGCGTCGGTCCCAGACATCTCATATCAGCCATCCCATCCCTTCATATACCAGATCGCAACATCTCATATGATCCTCGTCTGATGGGCGCGGGATGTGACGACAGGGACGGTGCACGTTGTAGCGATTAGGTGCTCCAATGCGGCCGAGAAAAAGCATATAGAGCTCATGCGGGCTCTAAGCCCTCACGTCGCAGGGTAATGAGCGGCGGAGCGCGGCCTAGGCTTTTTTTGCGCCTCCTGGCTCCATTTGGATCTGATGTCCGCTCCGGCGATCTCGGCGCCAGCTTTCC